CTATAGTGCATGACTGCACAGTGGCCACAGCTGCATTTCTCAGATGCAGCGGGTACTTTTATTTTTGTTTTTTACCCTCTTTTTTTCTTTGCTTGGCTCAAGTTCACTCTGCAGAGGTGATTTTTCCCACACCCATTTACCCCACATTTTTCAAATAGACTTTTTGGCACCATTATTGTCTTGTTTCCAATTTTTTTTGTTTGGTTTTGTGTTTTTTTGGTACTGGGGATTGAACTCGGGACCTTCTGCTTGCAAAGCAGGCGCCGGAACCACTAGGCTAAATCCCCAGCCCTCATCTCCAATTTTTTGTTCAAGGCAAGAAGGGCCTAGAATTCTTTTGACTGGCAAGCCATTTCTAAACGAACTACCCTATAACAAGAGAAAACATTTTCACTTGCAATTAAGTTAGCTTCTACTCTAACTGCATTTTCATCAAATCAAATCTCAATACCCAGAACTGCCTAAATTTTGAGTATAGGAGGAAGTATGAGTTATAGAATAATAGTATGGCCTTAAAGTTCAGATGCAAATCCAAGTATAACCTTTATCTGACCCCTCAAATCCAAGTATAACCTTTATGTGACCCCTCAAGTCATATAACATTTGCAATTTTGGAATAGTTATCCCCAAAATGAGAATAATGAAGATTAAATAAAATAGCGTGCATAGAAAGCACTCAGAATATTGCATGACACAGAATGAGCATTCAACATTAAGTCATACATGTTACTGTAATGTGTAATTTTCATCATGATTGAGTGATGATTGTAATTGTCATAAATTATGGTGCATGCATACAATGAAATACTATTTTAATGGTTTGAATATAAGGCTGTTCTATTGATATGAGTGATTTGCACAATATATATAATATGTATGTATTTTCATCCCAGTACTGGAGATTGAACCTAGGGCTTTGCTTTGTCACTGAGCTACCTCCCAAGCCCTTTTTATTTTCTATTTTGAGACAAGGTCTTGCTAAATCTCTTAAATTGCCAGGGTTGGGCTCAAATTTGCAATCTTCCTGCCTCATCTTCCCAGAATGTTGGGATTACAGGTCTTCACCATCAACCACTGCCAAAGTATATACTTTATTGGGGCTGGGGATTTAGCTCAGTGGTTCCACCACCTGCCTCGCAAGCGCAAGGTCCTGAGTTCGATCCCCAGTACCCCCAAAAATAAAATATATACTTTATTAAGGTATATCAGTTTATTAAATCATATAACAAGGACGCCCAAAGTTGAGAAAAAGTAAAGCAAAAGTATGTAGATGGGAGAAAACAATGAGAATAACTTCATTCAAAAATTCTATCTGCACATCAAGTACCACTGGTCATTGCCCGTGAGTAACCTGCATTTCTTTGGGCATGTCTACAGCAGTAAAATCAGCACTCCTATGGTGTCTCAAAATATGCACTGACCCATTCACAAATTAATCAATGAAGAAAGCTCAGTGGCAAAATACACCCCACACAAGTCTCTAGTAACTTAAACACCAAGAATCCACCCCTCCACGTGAGAATGCTTCTGATCTGTGTTCCCAGAATCCCGAGAGCGGAGGGGCCGAGTCACCAGCCCAGAAAGGTGGGAAAGCAGAGTGTGGGGGTCCCCTGCCACCAACTGACTCCGCACTGAGCTCAGCTCTCCCAAATGCTGGGAAAGAAACACTGGGGGTTCGACCTCTGATCCTCAAATTGTGGGATCTTTGCTTTTGGAGCTTCCTCAGTACCCAGAGCTCCGTTATGGACAGGCGGTATAAAGAGGGCAAGAAAAACAAGCAAACGCCTCTCGAGGGACACTTCTCTCCGAGAAACCGTAAGAGAAGGAGGCAACCGGGAAGAGGGGTCACCCCAGCCGCTTCTCCAGTCCTAGGCACAGCTGGCTCGGCCTACGTGGCAGTCACTGACCTTTCCAAAGGGGCCTCCCAGGGGCAGCAAGAGCGGCGGCCTGGGCCCCGCACCCCACACAAGTCCCTCTCAGCCGGCTCCGCGCTAAGGAGCTCAGGACAAGCAAGGGCGACCAGGAGGCCGCCATCTTGAGCTCCGTACAAGTGGAGGAAGAGGAAAACTTTATTGAAAGCCAGATGAGAGGCTGTGGCAGTCAAATCCAGCCGTGCTCGCGGGACGCTCCGCCCGAGAGAAGAAAGAGGAGCAGCTAAGGGAGGTGACCTCCAGTCCCGAGGGGCGGGTTAGCCTCCCGTGCTCTTCAATCCGGGGCAAGGCCAGGCCAGACTACGACTCCCAGCATGCAGTGCGCCGCCTCGTGGTGCAGGGGGCCGGGGCACTCCTATCGGGCTGGGGCGGGTCGCAGGCGAACCCAAACTAGTCCAGGCCTCCAGAAGTCCTTAAGACACTCAGTAACCTCAACAGTGCCTTTAAGGTACCTCATGTTAACATTTAGGGGGTCCAATACACCCTCATATTTTAAAGAAATATTGATGTTGACTCGTCACACCTCTCCTTTAAAAGGTAGCTCCCAATCTTTTTTCCTTTTTTTTTCCCTCTAGCATCCTGTGCAATTTTGGACAATACCTGAAATAGGCTCCTACCACTTATCCTTTTGATATTTGAATAACATCCATCACTCAAATGTTTTGAACGATTTTATAAGTCAAATGGGATAACTAATGGGCCAAGCCCAACATTAGGACAGAATAGTCGTGGTATGATGTACCTAAAGAAGCACTGTAGGGCCGGAGATTTAGCTCAGTGGTTCCCCAAGGTCCCGAGTTCAATCTGTAGTACCAAAAAAAAGAATTGTAACAGGGACATAGAGGACGGGCCCGCAGTTGCTCAGGAACCATTTCCTTATACTGCTGCTACTGTTGTTCCTATTCTCAAGATCATTTCCTTAAGTGGAAAAGAAGGGTGCCCCAATACCTGGTTCCTGGTTCCCACTTCCACTTCCCCTTCCCCATCCGTAGCCTTCTTGTCTCACTGGCTGGCAACTATGGCCTTCCAGCTGCTCAGGCCATTTCTCAGAGGAATAAGCCTTTGCTTTCCTCTTTCTCTCCCCGAATCCAGTCCCTCAGTGAATTTTGCTGGATCTTCACGATTATCCAGAATATTACTTTTCACCACCAACATTGCTACCACAAAAACTGTTCCAAGTCTCCATCATCTCCTTTCTGGGTTGTTGCCTTCTAACTGGTATCCTTGCTTGTCCCTTGATTCCTTCAGTCTGTTCTCTCCACAGTAGCCACATGTATCTTTGAAAATTCTAAGTTAATCGTGCTATTCCTGAGTTTAACACCCACTAGCACCTTCCCCTGTCACTCTGTTATCAACACAGCCTGCAAGGCCTTGGGGTGCTAAGGGCTCTCTCTAATACCATTTAGACCAACTCTCCCTTTCCCTCCCTGCCCACCCACACTGGCTTTCTTGCCACTGCTGGAACTCACCAAGCCTGGTTCCTATCCCCCAAAGCTTCTGCATGTCTTCATCCATCTGTTCTCCTCCAAGATATCTACTTGGTTCACTTCATGTCCTAATACTTTAAGTTAAGGCTTTTCCTAACTAATACCTCATATACAATTACAATCTTGTTCAGCACTCCTTTTCTTCCTGCTTAGTTTTATTTTCTCCACAAAATTCACAACTATCTGGCAGAATACTATACATTCTTTATTATTTCATTAGTTCATCATATGCTCTTACTAAAATTTAAGCTCCCTGTGCATCCCAGACCTAGAATAGTGTCTAGGTTACAAGGGATTTGATAAATATTTCTTTCTTGCTTTCTTTTTCTTTTCTTTCTTTTTTTTCAGTGCCAGGGATTTTGTTTTGTTTTGTTTTGTTTTCCAAACTCACTCTGTAGCCCAGACTGGCCTCCAACTCACTGCAATCCTCTTGCCTCAGCCTCCCTCATGCTGGGATTACATACATGCACCACTATGCCCATCTAGTGCCAGGGATTGAACCCAGGACCTTGCACTCGCTAAGAGGTAATCACTGTATCAGTGAACTACATCTCCATCTCCAGTTGTTTTTTTGTTTGGTTGGTTAGTTTTTTTCAAGAGAAGGTTTTGCTGTGTTGTCCTAGCTGGCCTCAAACCCCTGGGCTCAAAGGATCCTCCTGCCTCCTGTGAAGCAGCTGGGACTAGAGACATGCGCCACCACACCTAGAATTTTTAAAATTTGAATCACATATTTGTACCTACCAAAGTAGTTCTTCCCTAAATATTCCTTATTTAAATTTTTAGGGAGGATTAAAAGGCTTTCCTCATACAATTGTCCACATGCCCTCCCTGATATCAAGGGTAAACTGGGTATGGTGGTACAATTCTGTAATCCCAGCACTTGGGAGGCTGAGGCAGGAGGATCACCGAGAGTTGGAGGCCAGCTCGAACTCAAGTCTGGCTCAAAGTCAAAACAACCCTCCTGCCTCAGCCTCCTGAGTGCTGGGATTAGAGGCATGCATAATGACACCCAGCTAGCTGTATTAGACTTGATTTACCAAGTCTCCTATTTGCTTTCATAAATATATGTATTTTCTATGATACCAGGGATTGAACCCAAGGCCTTCACACTGAGCTATACTCCCAGCCCTTTGTTTTGAGTCAGGGTTTCTGTTAAGGTTTATACCTCCATGTTGCCTCCTCTTGCACTCATAGGTGGGGGCGTTTGGAGGGGGCTGGATCAAGGGTATATGAATATGGATCAAGGGTGTATGATAACAAAATTGGTTTAACATAGTTTTGTTTTGCATAACCGGGGATTGAACTCAGGATCTTGCACTTGCCAGGCAGGCATTGGTGCCACTTAGCTAAACCTCTGGCCCAGTTTAACACAGTTTTAAATGTGGATAATGGGAAGCTCCACCTTGGCTGTGGGTGGCACCAACCGAATGGTTTGTAGCCTGGATAGAATATAAAGGGACAGATGGAAGGCAGGCTGCTGCAGCTTCACTGCTTTCTGCCTACCCTGCCATGGACTGTTTCTCCTCTGCCACACGGCCCTGCCTTGGAGCCAGCCAACCATGAACTGAAACCTCTATGAACTGTGAGCTGAAATGAACCTTTCCTCCTTTAACTTGTGTTGGGCACTTTGTCCCAACAAGAAAAGTCACTAAGACAATCTCTCCCTAAATTGCCCAGCCTGGGCTCAAACTTTCAATTTCCTTGTCTCAGCCTCCCAGAGTACTGGGATTATAGGCACTCACCACCATGCCCAGTTCCTATGTATATATATTTCCAGGAAAATTGATCCCATCCACCATTCGACACCCCGCTTTATTTCCTAAGCATGTGTCCTGATTTCTATTAGAAAAAAGCATTTTAATAAAAATAATTATAAAAACTACTAATTGAATTTTAATATTTCCAGGACAACTGCAAAAATGTTCTTTGAGAAGTGATACTAGTATTAGCATTCACTGTTAAACAAAACTGTATGTACAGCCCTGAGGATTGACCCCAGGGCCTTTGTACTGAGCTACAGTCACATCCTTCTTCCCCATCTTTTTAAAATTTTGTGACAGGGTCTTCCTAAATTACCCAGGTAGGATTCAAACTCAAACTTGCCATCCTCCTGCCTCAGCCTCCCAGAGTGCTGGGATTACAGATGTGCCCAACTGCCCTGTTTATGTTTTAATTTTAAAGCTGGGCATGGTGGTGGCCAGCCTGGGCTACATAGTTCAAAGCCAACCTAAACTATATAGTGAGAACCTGTCTCAAAAAACAAAAAGTAATTTTGAGTCAAGGTCTTGCTAAATTGCCCAGGCTGGTCTCAAACTTGTGGTTCACCAACCTTACCTTCAAAAGTAACTGAGATTAGAGGCACATGTCACTGAGTCTGACTCTCAAAGATCTGATATTTTTAGGGGTTTTTTTGATAACGGGGATCGAACTCGGGTCCTTGTGCTTTTGGGGCAGGTGGCGGAACCACCGAGCTAAATCCCCGGCCCAGACCTGATATTTTTAAACCAGCCATTTTATATATTAAGATTCAATTAAATTAATTAAATAAATAAATAAAGATTCAATATCACCAGGCATGGTGGCACACACCTGTAATCCTAGTAATCAGGAGGCTGAGGCAGGAGCATTGCCATGAGTCAAGACCAGCCTGAACGACATAGTAAGACTTTGTCTCAAAAAACAAAAGACTCAATGACTTTGAGAGATGTAAGAAGTGATTTGCCCATGCTAGCAGTTACTACCCCTTCTTGTAGTTAACTGAATAGTAATGAGGCAGGAGAACAGGGCCTTGGCAAATCAGATGGGCAAGTGGACATAATCTGTCTATCAGAGATCCAGGACACATGTATGTACCAAAGCCCTCACCTGGGTCCAATCAGTGAATGCTGTCTTCAATTCTTGGGAAAATTCAAGCAGGTTTCTATAGGAGGGTCTGGGTCTGATATCACCCTGAGGAAAGGGAGATACAAAAGACACACCCTTTAAGCTCCTGGCACTGGGCTCCCTCTTTCACAGTGATCTGTACTCATACTGTAGAGTGCACTTCTTTTCCTATTTTTAATTGGCCCGCACCAATTAAATTGGCCCACACCAACTCTGCAGAGCATGTTTCTTTTCCAACCTTTAATAAAAAACCTCACTACCTTTTTTCCTTGTTTTGTCAATTCTTTGTTTGAAACGAGAAGAACCTAGAAAGAATCTCTAGAAGGAGTCCCCAGAACGCCAAAACCCAGTAACAGTAATTGGGATGAAAAGCTTGTTTATTTAACCAAATAATTCTTGTTTGTGAGTGACAGTGTCTCACTATGTAATCTAGGTTGGTCTTGGACTGGAGATTCCCTGTCTCAGGCTCTTAAATGCTAGAATTACAAGCTTATGCCACTATGCCCAACATTAGGTACCTCTTGAAATAGCCCTTAAACCAGATCTACACTATGCCATATCTAACTGATTGTTGCTGACAGTCAAAACAGTTTTGTTGGTTGGTTATTTGGACTTAATGTAATATACCTAGGCAATCAAATGAGTGTCTTTCATTCTGTAGCCCATTTATTCAGAGGAACTAAAACTGGCCTAAAATGCAGCCAATCCTTAAACCTCAAAGATCACATGATAAAAACAGTTCACCTACTGTGAACTCATTCATTTGTAATACTTGCTCCATGTGACTACACTCAAAACTAGTCATGAGCTGGGTGTTGGTGTTTTAGCTTTTTGAGACAGGGTCTCATTCAGGAGGCCTTGAACTAACTAGACTGGCCTCCAAATGGCAGCAATCCTCCTGCCTCAGCCTGCAGAGTGCTCGGATTACAG